AGTAGTAGTGCTCGTTTTATAGACACAAAGCCTAGGGAGACCAAAAATATAAGATGCAACTATTTGGCTCTTTAATTGGTATCCTAAAGCTAGTTCCTAACAGTCATCTTAACATTGAAACAATTTTCAGCAACATTCCCCTTCATTAGAAGTGTAGAAAGAGGGCAGGAAACCCCATGAGTACGGGTGAAGTAGAATAACTGGAAGCTACCTGGCTTATCAGGTAAAAATTAATTAATTAAAATTAATGTTAAATTCCAAACTGTCATGACTGGACTTTGAGAGCCAATAGCTGACAGATTACCCCAAGTTACAGCCATCAGAAATACATTAACTCCCAGCCATGGTGGTATACACCTGTAATCCCAGCACTCAGGAAGCTAAGGCAGGATGACTGTGAGTTCAAGGGTACCCTGGGCTATTTAAGAAGTTCAAACATGTTTTTGACAAAGTTGATTTGTTTTCACACAACTTGTAGATGAGCATGTTTCTTATTGTGACAAAATTATCCCAACATGATATATTATATCATGTATGTAATTTTGCCTATTTTTCTTTCATATTAAAGCTAATATTATTATTTCCAAAAATAAAGTTCAAGGCCTCTTAGGACTCTAGAGCAAGGCACTAACTCAAACAAAACAAAACAGAAATGCATTAACTCTCAAGGTGATTTTAGTATAGGGCTATAGGCCATGGATATACCATATGAAGCTAAACTATATTAATGCTGGGCCAGGGATTTAGCTCAGTGGTGCACGCCTGCCTCCAAGTGCAAGTTCCCAAGTTCGATCCTCGGTACCAAAAAGGAAAAAAAATATATACACACACACACACACACACACACACACACACACACACACACATACTATATTAATGCTAGACCTTAAAAATAATGGCAATAGATCAAAACATAATTTTTATCCCTGTGTATACTTAAATTTAAAAAGCTTGTAGCCAGCCCTGCCCTCGGGCCGTTTAAAGGTGGCCTGGAAGGGCTGGCATGGCTCCATTAAGGAGTGTGTCAGTGATACACTAGGCCCACCCCTCCATTCAGAACAGGGATGGGGACACTGTCAGCCCAAGAGGCTGCAGGATCACCAAGGGTCCCCTTTCAGTCTTCCAAATCCTCAGTGCCTGCAGGACACTGACTTGGAGCAAGGACTCCCTAGGACTCTACCTGTTCCCCAGGTGCCTGCTCTTCCCCTCAAGTGAAGCCCAGGAGACCAGGCAGCTGTACTCCTGTCAACCAGGTTCGAAGATTTTCAATTTCCAAGCCAGATGGTTTCTCCCAGTTGAAAAAAGATCCAGGTCTTTACTTTTGCTTTTGTTTTTTGGTACTGGGGATCAAACTCGGGACCTTGTGCTTGTGAGGCAGGCACCGGAACCCCTGAGCTAAATCCCTGGCCCAGATCCAGATCTTTGATATGGAAACTAAGAATAGAGAATTCTTATGAGGTGACTGGTCAGATGGAGCAATCAGATAAGAGAACAAGCTGTTGATTCCTAAGCAGAAAATTTTGGAAGAAGTACATTCATACAAAATGAGAGTAGGAAGATTCAAACAGGATATTGTCCAAGTTCCTAAGATTAGAAAAGTGCATGAGTCTGTGGACAGATTAGAAAGGCTCCAGGAGGGCCTGGGATTTAGCTCAGTGGTGCCTCTGCCTGCCTTGAAAGAGCAGGGTCCTGAGTTCAATCCCCAGTGCCAAAAAAATAAAATAAAATAAAATAAAAATTAAAAAAGAAAGGCTTCAGGAAATCCTAAGGAAATTTCTCTTCCTGGAGAGAGTTTAGGCAAATAATGGTCAGCAAGAAAAACTTTATCTGTGAGAACAGCGAATGTAATGAATCTGAAAAAAGCTTCAGTCTGAATTCTACCCTTGATACAGAACAGAGTTGTTAGAATACAGAATATTGATGACAATAAGTAAGACATGAACTTCATCCAGAACTCAGCATCTGGTAAACGTGAACACATGAATCTACAACAGAATTTCCCGACTAATGAATACAAAGAAAGCCTAATGGATCTCTCCCACCTTAGTAAATGGGAGAGCATTTTTTCCACTAAGAAATCCTATAAATGTGACACATGAGGAAAAATCTTCTATCAGAGCTCAGCCCTTACTAGACATCAGAGAATCCATACCAGAGAGAAACCTTACAAATGTAAATATGAAAAATCTTTGGGTCAGAGATTGTCTTGGTTGACATAAAAGAATATACACTAGAGAAAAACCCTAAAATTATGAATCACGTGATAAATCCTGTGAAATGTCTAATAAATTCTGTAGTCAGTTTCAAATGAAGCTTCACACCAAAGCCATTTTATTTTTTTCAGAGAGTCTCACTGTGTAATCCAGGTTGGTCTCAAATTCCTCCTGCCTCAGCCTCTCAAGTGCTGGGATTACAAGTGTGCACCACCATGGCTGGCAAAAGTAGAACAATTTGAACAACTAAATAAAATACCTGAAGTATAAAATAAATGTCTGGAGTTCCTACTGGTAAAAATGTTTGAATAAATGGGGAAGAAGAAAAATGAGTGCAGAATTCCAAATATCTTATTTAGATTTTCTGTTCTCAAGCAGGTGGAGCATAACATTCCACTCCTTTCATGGATTCTGTGCTCATCTGGAATCTTCTCCCAAGGTTTTGTGATTTTTCTGGGAGAGCTTCCTCCTGTTCCTCCCTACAGTCATGCAATGTGGCCCCCACTCAGGCAAAACACTCAAGAGCTAAGTAGGCTGAAGCTGGAGGGTTTTCTATCACAAGACAAAAGATCTATGAATGCAGTGGTCCCTTTCAAAAATCCAGCACCCACAGTTAAGAAAGCATTTTCCTGGCCTTTCATCACCATCTCCATCCACAGCCCCAGCCACTTTTCATTTTATCTGCTTGCTCTCTCCTAGTGATTTCTTCTCTTTTCCCTATTCCTCGCACACCAAGCTTCACAGGAGCAAACCTCCCAGATCTACATATAGCAATTAATGAGCTCCTTGGATTTTCCAAGAATTTCCCCAAAGACAATGGCTTATGCAAATACTTTCCTTTAGGATTAAAGGGCACTGAGGAGCTTAAGTGAAGATATGCTGTGGGTTGGTGACAAATGACAAAACTCTGAGGGTAGTATGCTAGCTTCCACATACAAAATCATTCTGGGCAGCAGGACAAGCAGGCCTGCAAACATGGTAGATTCACATGTTTCATATAATTTTAGGGCTGAAAGGGACTCCACAGGTTAATTAGTCCTGCAGTTGAAAGTAAGACCTGGGGCTGTTTAGTGACCCGCCTCAGGTCATATCTTCTATCTCCTACAAACTCTGTACTTGCTTGTAGAAAATAGTTTTCAAGCAAATGTTCTTCAAATGTAATTTTCTTCATTTCTTTTCATGACAGGGCTTGAGCCCAGGACCTCCTTTGCTCTACCTTTGAGGTACACATCCAGTGGAAATGTAATCATTTTATCCTTGCCCTTCGATCTTTTATTACTAAAAAAAAAAAACTTCTTTAAATTTAGCTATCTGACTTTGTCCTTGAGCCTTCGACACTTTCCTGATGATTTTCTGCTCCTCAATAAGGAAAGCACATTTAGTCCTGTCAGGGACACATTTGGCACACATGAACCACCATAGGCCCTGCTGACATTAGTTCCTTTTAGACAATTTCATAAGAACTTTAGGTCTCACAGCTGGAACTTCTCAGTCTGCTACATGCAGATTTTGACACTTTCTCGATATTCTTCGTATAAAGGTAAACAATTCTATTACCAGGGCCTTGGCATAGCCTAGTTTTGTTAAGAGCTTGCATTGTAGGAAAGCCTGTGATGGTATGTCAAACTCTGGACCATTCTGAGTGCCTTTAGACAGCCCCTTGAGGGCTTGAAATGTAATCTTTTAACAAAGGTTTTCACATTTGAACTCTACTGTAGCCAGTAATTAATGTATCACCAGAAAAACTAGTCTGGGAGAGGGGTTGGATGCTGAGGCAGGAGGGGTGCAAGTTCAGGCCAGCCTGGGCAATTCAGTGAAACCCTGTCTCAAAATAAAAGGGCTGGTGGTGTAGTTTAGGGCTAGAGTGCTTGCCTACCGTGTGCAGACTATATCTTGTACCCTAAATCCTCAGTACCACCATTACACACACCAAAAAAGCAGTCATTTTTAATTTTCATAATCTCTAGTAGAAAAAAAAAATGACAAAAAGATATCTGAAAATAATGACTACATACTTTCTAGAGGCAACATTTTAAAAGGTGCTTTTATTTACAAAAGGCGGACAGCACTTTTATTTTATTTTTATTTATTTTTTGACAGAACTATTAAACATCACAATCCCAATGATACCAACCCAGACTTTGAGAAATTCAATTTAACGAGACTCGAACCGTCAACGTAATCCCAATTAAGGCAATAACGAATCCTCTACGGATTCGGCTGACAGATCTCAACTCTGCTAGTCCTGATTCAACAATGTATTATTTGGCTGATTCAGAAAATACATATTCAGTACTCTAAGCTCACAGATATACTCGGGGAAAGAGTGCTACGCAGGAATGAGATTTTAAGTAAATACGTCTTGAGCCTTGACGTCCACAGGGAGGTTTCAGAGCTAGCTCACTACACTTCTTCCTGAGACTGGACGCGTATCCGTTCTCTCCGACCAGAGAAAGCTCAATGGAAAAGAGAACGATCGCACGCGCGGAGGAGACCTGGGCGGCGGACAGCTTCTTGCCACCAACGCGAGCGAGTCATGCGGGAAGCGGCAGGTGGGAGCAACGTGGGACGACGCTTCCCCATGTTCGGAGCAGCGGGAACAGGCCTCGGCACAGAGGTCGCAGGCTGCACGGTAGCTCTCCGCGGCCTGGCAGCCAGAAGCCCCCAGTCCTCGGCCCCCGCGCAAGCGACGCCGGGAAATGCCCACATCCGGGAAACCTGCAGCGGAGTGCGGCGGCGGCGGCGACACGGAGTGGAAGGCAAAATGGCGGCGGCGGCGGTGGCCTGGTGGTAAGGGGAGAGCCAGGTCCCGGCGACCCCTGCATCGGGTCGCGCCGGCCCGCGGCAGCCCCCGGGCGTCTCCGCTCGCCCTGCTTCACCCGGGATACTTGGAGCTTCCGGGACTGGCTCTGGTCTCCAAAGCGCCGGTCCTCGGGCCCGTGGCCGCTGACCAGGAGCCCCGCTCTCCCCTGCAGGTAGGTCCGGGGTTGGCCTAGCGGGTGGGGCTCACAATGCATTCGAGCGGGAGTTGTCGGGGCGGTGGCCGCCGGTGCCCACGCCCATCCCCGCTGGCGGGGGTCCAGGGGCTGCTGCGGACTGGCGGGCTGAGACGGCCGGGTCTGGGCCTGACTTGCCTGGTTGCAGCGACCTGAGCTGAGCCCTGCCCTGGGGAAACGAGGGTTGGCCGCACCCTTGCTGCAGGAAGAGCCCCAGGCGTTTCGGCCCGGAGGTGCAGGTTAGGCTGCGGAGAGCCTGTCCTTGCTCGTGGCCTCGACACCACCGTTTACCTCGCAACCTACTCCCTACAAGTCTAAGAAGGGAGGAAAGCGAAAGGGGTTTCTGAAGGAAAGTGGCGAGCTACTTTTGGATCGCAGAGAGCTCCGATCCTGGGTATACCTTGAAGAAATCTAGGAGGCTCTTTTTCCAGTCCGCTGTAATGTTAGGTCGCTGCTCATAGGTGGAAGTGGTGAGAGAGATGGGGGTAGGTGTCTTTGTGGAATAGGAGTGAGTAAATAAACACGGAAAACGAAGAAAAGACAAAACAGCTTGTAGTGCAAAGAATGACTCTCAGGTAACTTTAACCCTACTCTGACTTCTCCAATTGAAAGTTATTTTCTAAAGGGACAAAGTTTAATGTTTGTCCGTTCATATGTAAGTATAACTTGTAAAATACATATCATCGTTTAGAAGTTATTCATCTAGTGAACAATAAATACCGTCTCTCCCACACAAAATATTTGTATCATCCCGATTCTAGAAATGGATTTGAATGCCTAGGATCATGAAGCTTCTCAGATGCTTGTAGATTTATTTATTGAAGATTAAATTTTTTTTTATCAGTTTTCCTTCGTGAGGAAGAAAAGGTAAGATACCATGGTTGGAATGAATGTTCTGTTAAGATAACCACTTACATTTGTGATTGCCTTGACTAAGGTTTTCTCTTACCTTTGGATGTGTAGACAGATAGGTAAAATGGGCTAGTTGATTCCCTAAGGCAGTGGAGGAATTTGACTGATCTTGAAGTAAAAGTAGTACCATTGTGTTCCTGTGATAGTCTGTTACTGCAAGAAATTAGATCATAGCACATGCTGGAAAAGGCACATTCTTTCTGTCTTTGATTGAAGATGCCTTACTGCTCTCAAAATAATTAACACTTCTTTTACATCTTTATTATGATACCTAGCTTTCATTCTATAGACTTTAATGTTAGTCATTATTCTATACACATATGGTCTTAAAACAGTTGTACTCTAGTAGTTTTCTGTTTATACATTATAAAATGTATTGCTGGGCATGGTGGTGCACATCTGTAATCTCAACACTCAGGAGGCTGAGACAGGATTGCCAAGAGTTCAAGGCCAGCCTAGGCTACCTAGTGAGTTCAGGGCTAGCCTGAACTACAAAGGGAGACCCTGCCTCAGAAAAAAAAAAAAAAAAAAGGGCTGGGGATTTAGCTCAGTGGTGCTGTCGCCTGCCTTGCAAGTGCAGGGTCTGAAGTTCGATCCCTGGTACCAAAAGAAAAGAAAAAGTTCACATTATAGATATACATTCATAGGTGACTTTCATGCACTACTTGAATCATTGAACATTATCAATTAGAAATAATTTTCATCAGGAAGATAAAAATGCAATGATTGTTTTCCTTTTTCTTTCCCTCTCTCCCTTCTTTCCTTCCGTGTGTGTGTGTGTGTGTGTGTGTGTGTGTCTGTGTGTGTGTCTGTGTGTGGTGTTGGCAATGGAACCCAGGGAACCCAGGAACTCGGCCATTTTAGGCAGGCACTCTGCCACTGAGCTACACTCCCAGCCCCTCTTTGGGTCATCATCAGGCTAAATTGCACAGGTTGACCTCCAGCTTTTGATCTTTCTGCTTCAGCCTCCTGAGTAGCTGGTAGGACTAAAGGGAGTCCATTGCTATTCCCAGCTCCGTATTTTCACTTTTGACCAGTTAATTCTTAGAAAGTGGATGAAAGAAAATGCCAGGTGCAGACATCTGTGAGTATTGCACTCTGTGAGACTATTCTACTAAAAAACAGTATAGGGCTGGGAGTACTGGCACATGTCTGTAATCCCAGCACCCAGGAGGCTGAGGCAAGAGGGTTGCTGCAAGCTTGAGGCCAGCCTGGATTACATAGGGAGACCTTGTCTCAAAACAACAACAACAAAAATGAATAAACATATATATCGTCATTAATATTCTTAACATTGATCTCTAGTCAAAGCATTGAGAAAGCCCCCCCCCCGCCCCCCATGACAAAAATCTCAGGATGGGCTTGAACATGTGATCCTCCTGCCTCAGCCTCTCATATTGCTGGATTGCCTGGTTCAGGCTATCTTTTTTATAAACTTAATTCAACCTGTTTTTTGTTTTGGTTCTTTTTGGTACCAGGGATCAAACTCAGGTCCTTACGCTTGCGAGGCAGGCGGTGGAACCACTGAGCTAAGTCCCTGGCCCTCAACCTGTTTTTTCCTTACTTGCACAAATAAACAACTTTTATTTTACTGTGCTAGGGACTAAACCAAGGGCAATTGAACCACCACAGAGCTACCTCTCCAGCCCTGGCATTTATATTTTTGAAGAGGGTCTTAAATTTCAAGAAAATTGAAGTTTGTCTATTTATTGTGAGCAGTTTGGGTGCCCCTTCAAAACATGAGTGAATCATGATCTCTGTCCTTAGGAGGTTGAAGATGTAGGTGTGATAAAAAGGGCCCTGGGCTGTGTTAGGATGTGAAGTCCATTCCTAGCATTACCACCAGCTGATTATGTGACCTTATATAGGTCATATCACTTCTCTGGATCCATTTTCTTGTTTGTTAAAAGAAAATCTACAAGACATCTTACAATCTATGGATCTGTGAACTGGTAGGAAAATATCAGATGAGAACATAAATAGGACAGAAGTGTAAGTTTTATCAGAATTGTCCAAAGTGCATGTGGTGTTAAGAAAAGGGTAACAGCTGGGAGTTCAATATCAGTTCCTGTAAGAGGAGATGTTTGAGTGAAGGTTTGATATAATTTCTTCAAGAAGAAAAATGCCAAGAGCTCTCCCAAGAAGAATAAACAGGATGAGTAAGGACATGAAAATAGAAAAGCACAAGGTATGTTAGTTGAGAGCCAGTAATTTGGTTTGGTTAGAGTATAAGGTACAATTATGGAGATAGTTGGGAAGTATGGGTCAGATAAGATAATAACTGACATATAGTGAGTCAGGTGCTTTTTCTAAACACTTGACATGATTTTTTTTTCTCTTTAATATAATTAAAAATTTTTTTTTGGTATTGGGGATTGAACTCAGGACCTTGCACTTGTGAGGCAGGCTGTGGAACCACTGAGCTAGATCCTGGGCCCAATTTTTTTTGTTTTTTGAGATAGGGTCTCACTGAGTAGTCCCAGGCTGGACTAGACCCTCCTGCCTCAGTCTCCCAGAGTGCTAGGATTACAGGTGTGCACGACCACACCCATCTCAACGTGTATTAAACCCATTTAATGCTTACAATAACCCTTTGTAAGGTAGAACCTATTTTTGCCCACATTTGAAGATTAAGAAACTGAGACACAGAAGCTAAACAGCTTGCCCAAGATCACACAGCCAGGAAGTGGTAGAGTTGGGAGTCATACCTAGGCAATGAAAGAAATATAAGTGACATGATTAGAACTATTCTTTAGGAAAACTAATCTGGCATCATTGTACCATGGGTTAAAGAGGTAAGCTTTTTTGCTTTGAAGAGTTCTTTTATTCCTTTATTTTTGAGATAGGAATCTCACTTTGTTACCCAGGCTGGCCTTCAATTTGAGATTTTTTTCCAGAGCCTCCCCAGTAGCTGGAATTGTAGGTGTGGCCTACTGCTCTTGACCTCTTTGAAGAATTATTTTTAAAAATTCTCTTTGCCTGTTATTAATGTGAATTTTCAACAGTAATCGTAATAAAGATTACTAAGATTTGATAATACCATTGTTGACCGTACTTTGTTGAAAGGATTGTAAATTAGTACACCTTTGTGGAAGACAATCTGAAAATAAATACCACAATTTTAATATTCATTCTCATATTTATGTATATTTTTATTTTATTTGTTTTGCAGTGCTGGGGATTAAATTGAGGGCCTTCAGCAGGCTAAGCAAGAATTGCAGTTGAGCTAGATCCCTTGCCTTGTGGATTCTCTTGATCAACTAATTTTGATATGTGCCAGAGACCCCTGTAGTAAGTTCCAGTCCCTACCTCCCCAGTGTGCAACGCAGGCCTGAGAAAAAGAATACACTAGGAGACAACTAAGAGAGAGAAAGTGGGGTGCCAGGACAACCAGTGCCAGTGCAACTGACAAAGGCGCTGGTTAGTCCCAGGCACTGACTTTTATTGGCAATCACCTGGGGTAAAGGTGACATGTGGTTTCTATGGAAATTAATGTAAACAAGGCTCATAAAGTACAAGACAAAGCATTCTCGAATTAGGTACAGAATAGACAAAATATATGATTGTAACTAGAACATTAAAATTAATGTAAACAAGGCTCAAAGTACAAGACAAAGCATTCTTGAATTAGGAACAGAATAGACAAAATATATGATTGTAATTAGAACATTGTCCTTCTAGTCAGAAGGTTTTAGTTGTGGGAATGGAATTTGGGTGCAGGTTACTCTGACCTTGGCTCGTAGGCTTCAGCCAGACTCACTTCTATAAACAAGCCAATTATGGGGTTAAGTCCTTACAGACTGCTTTGGGCATAATCAATATCACAATCCTCTGCAGATATGGCTAAGGAAACATGTAAGCTATAAGGCATAGGAAAATGAATATGAAATCTGAAATCTGTACCCATCCTCAGAACTAGAATAGTACCAATATAATTGAAGTTACCAGTGTTTGCAACATATTTCTGTAATAGCAAAAAAATAAATTACCATCAGTAGGGGACAAATAAATAATAGAACATCTACAAGATGAAATTCAGTATACAGTTACTTAAAGGGACATGGTTG